TGTGGGGCTGTATGCAGGAGTTTAAAAGTTTTTTGGGGGGGAGTTTTGTTAGTGGTCAGGGAAGTCCTGCTTTCGGAGCCTTCATGACCCACTTTTGGGTCCTGACCCACAGCTTGGGAAGCGCTGGTCTAGGTGGACATTTAAGAGCCTGCAGGGCCTATTGGAGCTGTGGTGGCTCAAGTGGTTAAGACGCTGAACTGCAGGCTGTGGAAGGTCGGTAGTTCAGCAGTTCGAGACCCGAGTGTGCCGCGTGACGGAGTGAGCTCCCGTCTCTGGCCCCAGCTCCTGCCCACCGAGCAGTTCGAAAGCAAGGAATTGCAAGCAGATAAATAGGTACCACTTCGGTGGAAAGGGAACAGCGTTCCGTGCACCTTGGCATCTAGTCATGCCGGCCACGTGACCACGGAAATGTCTTCGGACAGCGCTGGCTCTTCGGCTTTGAAACGGAGATGAGCACCGCAACCCTAGAGTCGGACTCGACTGGCTTTCGAGCAAGGGAACCTTTACCTTTTACCTAGGGCCTATTCAGGCCCCACACGTTGCAGAACAGAGCGACTTTAAAAACTCCGTGCCTTGAAATCTCATCAAAGAATCGTCCCTGTTATCTGTTTGGGTGTGTTTTGGACAGCTTCACAGTGGTGGGCAGGGCACAGTTGCTTGACTTCCTCTCTCTATCCCCCCCCCCGGTCCCCCCAACAACAATTCGCAGCAGGCCCCACTACGCACTCTTCCCTTGCGCTTGCGCATGCATACACACGCAAGGCCGTGTGGGATGACTAGAGAGAGTCTCTGTGATGTTTTGAAAAAGCTTAGTGCTAAAAGCTAATTAAAATGGTTTCTGGTGATAAAGGGAGAACAGGGGAGGATAGTTCCCTGATTTGTTTTCCCTAAGAATTTAATTTACAGCCAGTCCCCCCCCTCCCCCCCTATCTAAATGTTACTTTCAAATGTACCCAGTGATAAGAAGGAACATCTGTTTTCTGTTCAGTAGTACAAGAAGTGCTCAGCATGGGGCTGGGTGCACATAGTCCACGGGAAGCCATTGTTGCTCTCGTTTCCTTTAGAAAATGCTAAGGCCTGTTCCCGTTTGCCCAGAGAGACGGTCCGGCAAACAGCTGACACAGACCGGCTTTTGGGGACCCCCGGGGCTAATTGTGCAGGATCCCTTTAAGCTTTCTCAAGCTTCTCTTATAGAATGGCAGGGCCTTATTACAGGCCAGTCTCCACTAGGGTTGCCAGTCCCCAGTTGGGGGCAGGGGATCCCCCCAGTTCGGCGCCCCATTATACCCTTTGGAGACCAGTCCCCGTAGGGCCAAGGTGTTGAACTTATTTGTTACAAGGGCCAGATCTGACATAAATGTCACTTTGTCAGGCTGGGCCATGTGTGCCATAAATGTAATGCCAGGGACTTGAGATCTAAACTGTATAAAGGACAGCCGCTAGTGAGCTCCGAGTGGGTGTATCCTCACTGCAAGGCCCCGTGGGCTGGGAGGGGGGTGCAAAGGAAAATCCACATGGGCGGTCTGGAGAGCCGGCAGTGAAGCACTGGTCAGATGCTTGACTGCTGCAAATGAGGTTGTTCTGCTGTGCTGTAGCCATAATCAGAGTGGCTCCACCTACTCCCTAGGGTTGCCAAATCAGTCTTTGCCGGGAGCGGGGGGCTCCCGGCCGGCGTCGGGTGAATGCGCGCGTGCGTCACCCGGAACTGATGTAGGCACGCTGGGGGCGGCGCCACGGCCATACAAGGGAAAACCATAGAGTTTTCCCTTGTATGGCCGTGGCCCCGCCCCCAGCATGCCCGGCGTGCCCACGTCACTTCCTAGTGACGCGCACGCCGGGGGCGGGGTCCCCCCGGGGCCCGATTCCGCCGCGGCGGAAATCAGGCCTCCAAAGCGGGGGTTTCCCCGTCCCCCGGCCCGATTTGGCAGCCCTTCTACTCCCCCAAGCAGTCTCCTGTTCCCTCCCTTGCATTAGGTGCTCGTGGGCCTTATAGGAGCCTTGGATGGGCCAGTTCTGGCCACTGGGCCCTATGTTTGACACCCCTGCCACAGGGTATAACAGAATCAATCTATGGGTATCTGGGGCTTGCCCCCCCTTTTGCATTAGAGGCACCGAATTTGCAGCATAGATGCTGGTGCCTCTCCTCAAAAAATCCCCCCCCCCCAAATTTCAAGAAGATTGGACCAGGGGGTCCAATTATATGGGCCCCCAAAGAAGTTGCCTCCATACTCCCATTATTTCTAATGGAGGGAAAGCATTTAAAAGGAACACGGTCTAGGGTTGCCAAGTCTGGTGTCACGCCGCAGCAGGGGACTCCCGGCTGGAGCGTGCCATAGAAAACCATAGAGTTTTCCCTCGGATGACCGTGGCCCCGCCCCCAGCGTGCCCAGCGTCCTCACGTCACTTCTGGGTGACACGCACGTCAAGGTGGGGCTCCCCCCGGGGCCCGATCCGCCGGCGGTGGGGAATGGGCCTCTGTGGTGGGGGTTTCCCCGCCCCCTGGGGGGACTTGGCAAGCCTAACGCGGTCCCCGGAATTCGCTTTGGAGTCCTCTCTCCCAGAGTTCACTCCCCTTTCCCGGAGCCTCTTGCCAAGTGCACCGCCCGCTTGTTGGCCACCTGGCAACTCTAGGCTCCGCCTTGGCTTTCTTACAGTGCCAGCCCAAGTAGTTTTACACACTGGATGGCGCAGGTAGAGGAGCCCGGTGGGCAATGGGCAACTATGGGGGCTGAATCAAGGGATCGTTCCAGAGGGCGGCCACATCGGTCTGCAGAAGAACAGCTGGATTGGAGTCCAGCAGCGCCTTGGGGGACCAACAAGATTTCCCAGGGTACGAGCTTTGGAGAGTCCGAGCTCCCTTCCTCAGCTACAAGTCAGAATGGAGATCCCAGACTAAATAGAGGAAGTTCCTGCCTGAATTCGGAGATTAAAAGAAGTCAGCCCGTAGATGATCGTTTTAAAAATCGTTGGAAAAGACTTTGCTAGCGGAGTACCATTGGGACACTACTAATATACTAACACAGACAACCGGTTTGAAAAAAAGAAGTTTGACAACATACAGAAGAAGCCAAAGAAGAAAATTTTAATATTACTAACAGCTTAACTTTACCAGTTAAAACATCACTCACCTTTTTCTTTTTTTCTTTTTTCTTTTGTAACCAAAGAGATTTTCCTTTATTGCACATGACAGGAGTGTCACATAACTGTCATGACTTAGTCCCATTACCTTTGGAATTCCAAATGACTCAAGGAGCACAACTCACCTTTTTCTTGATCCCACTATATACCCTCCCCTTTTCTAACTAAGCGAAATATCTCTCCTTTTTAGGAGAGGAAATAAAAGCTTTTAAATAAAAAAAAAAGAATGGAGATCCCCGAGTCCTTGGGATATAAGGCCTCGGAGATCTCCAGCTCGTATCTGGGGAAAGGGGCTTTGTCGCTCCAAAGCTCATACCGCCAGAATCTTGTAGAATTCTAAGGTCCCACAGGACTCCAAGTGATAGCGAATATTTCCTCTCCCGTCCGCGAATGAGAATTTTTCGACTTCGGTTTGAGCCGAAACCAACTTTGCGCAGGGAAAGAATCTGTTGGTGAAGGTTTTCCTTTTCGAGCAGAGGACTCGGGGTTCCATCTTTGTGAAAAAAATCTTAGGTGAAACGCAGCTTGGTGTAAGCTAGCTCACGTGTAAAGACTATACTACTGACATAGAGTTTGTCCACCCGACTCCTGTGCCAGTTTCTTAAACCCTTCTTTGGGGTGGTTTAAATTTTGATGATTGTGTTCGGTGTTAATAGAGTTCTGGTGTATGAGTTGGTAAGAAATCGGGCGTGGTCCTGGATTTCTTAAAACATCAGTGTCTTTTGGATGTACTCTCTATTTTCATCACAGTACTTGAATTGTAAAAGGAGCTGCGGTGGCTCAAGGGGTGAAGACGCTGAACTGCAGGCTGTGGAAGCTCGGTAGTTCAGCAGTTCGAGACCCGAGTGTGCCGCATGACGGAGTGAGCTCCCGTCTCTAGTTCCAGCTCCTGCCAACCTAGCAGTTCGAAAGCAAGAAATTGCAAGTAGATAAATAGGGACCACTTCGGTGGGAAGGTCACAGCGTTCCATGCGCCTTGGTGTTTAGTCATGCCGGCCACATGACCACGGAAACGTCTTCGGACAGCGCTGGCTCTTCGGCTTGGAAACGGAGATGGGCACCGCAACCCTAGAGCCCGGATTCAACTGGCTTTCGAGCAAGGGAACCTTTACCTTTACCTTACTTGAATTGTATTGGACTGTGTCCTTTATAGTTTATGTTGATACATTTGTCTGTGATTTGACTTGTTTTTTCTTGAGCACAGTTTGTTGTTCTTTGGCATGTCCCCCCTGTGCTGTCCTTTGTTTTTTTGATCATGAATGAAATGAAGCCGATGGGCTGTAGGTTTAGGATGGACAAAAGGAAGTACTACTTTACACAGAGATTAAAATGTGGAATTTGCTGCCGGAGGATGTAGTGCTAGCCACAGGAATAAACAGCTTTAAAAGGGGATTAGATAGATTCATGGAGGATAAGTCTGTCAATGATTACTAGCCATGGTAGCTGAAAGGAACCTCCACATTCAGAGGCACTAATCCTCAGAATCCCAGAGCCAGGAGGCAACATCCGGGGAAGGACTTGGCCTTTACGCCCTGTTGTCGGTCGTCCAGAGGAACTGGTTGGCCACTGTGTGAGACAGGATGCTGGGCTAGATGGACTATTGGTCTGAGCCTGCAGGGCTCTCCTTATGTTCTTAAATATTGCTGTTTTCTACATGTGATCTTAAAAAAAGCAGGCAGTCTTTTTTACTGAGCCCATAGAATCTTGTTATTTAACCAGCGCGCAAAGCTTTCTCTTTTTAACGTGGTAATGGGTTTTGGCCATCATCCAGTAATTTGCAATATCTTGTCTTGTTTTCAAAGCTGTATTGGCACTATGAGGCGTTTTCCTCTTACCAGTATTCTTAATTCCTATCTCTACAGCCTTCCTGGAACAGAGACCATGACGACACAGCATCAACACGTTCAGGGGGAACGCCGGGGCCCTCCAGTGGGGGGCATACATCACACAGTGGAGACAACAGCAGTGAACAAGGTAGGAACCCTGACTTTGAATTCTGGTCTTTATCTGGATTTAAGTACCTTCCATACAGTAATTAAAATTTCCCATAGTGTTGCTGAGGTTGGATCCTAATAGGGCATCATGTTGTTTCAGTACTACCAGGATACGTGGGAAGCCCTTTGTTTTATGTCCAGCGGGTATTGGCCCTCACAAGATTTCTGTATAATGGAGACTCTGGAGAGTGGTTCTGTTGAGTCCTGCTGATCGTAGGATTGGAGAGGGCCGTGGTGCAATACAGTATCGATACTTTTTCATTCTGCCTGTTCGCCCAGGAGCTCAGAGCAGTGTACATGACTTCTTTCAGAGAAGAGTTACGTAAATACTAGAACTCGGGCACCCAGTGACGTCGATGGGCAGTAGATTCAGGGCAGACAGAAGGAAGTACAGTCAGCAAGTATGAAGTTGTGGGATTCGGTGCCAATGGACATAATCAGGGCCTTTTTTGTAGAAAAAGCCCAGCAGGAACTCATTTGCATATTAGGCCACACCCCTGACACCACAGCTCATTAGCATATTAGGTCACACCCCCGTGTTACCCAAAGTGTGGTCATCCAACCATACCCACCTTTTGCTTCTTATTCTCTTTACCTTGTTTGTTGTCAAAACCCAGGGCCTTTTTGCATGTTAGGCCACACACCCCTAATTGTAGCCAATCCTAATGAGTTGCTGCTGTTGGGTGTGGCCTATTATGCTAATGAGTTCCTGCTGGGCGTGGCCAACTCGGGAGCCAGCCGGAACTCCGTTCCTGTGCGTTCCTGCCCAAAAATAGCCCTGGACATAGGTATCTTTAAAAGGGGATGAGACAGATTCGTGGAGGAGAGGTCCCTCAGCGGCTTACCGGCTGTGAAGGGATCCTCCACAGTTAGAGGCAGTAAACCACTGAATCTCAGTACTGGGAGGCAACATTGGGGAGAAGGAGGGTTGCCGGCCTCCGGATGGGTACTGGGGATTTCCTGGAATTGCATCTGATCTCCAGACTAGCCGTCCCCCTGGCTTACCCCCCCTAATCTCCAGGAATTTCCTAACCCGAAGCAGGCAACCCTGTTGGTTGCCTCTCCCGGACAACAGGTTGGCCTTCAGTGACCTGGCTGCGATCCGATGAGCTGCTTAATCCGGTGTTGTTACTGTTTCCCTTTTGGATTTAAAATGCACGATCAGACAGCAACATCTGCCTCCCATTCCCCAGTTGTCGGCACCCCGTTCTCACCAGTCTTCAAATCGGAGTTATTTGACTCCTTCCAGGGCTCTTTTTGTAGAAAAAGCCCAGCAGGAACTCATTAGTATAATAGGCCACACCCAACAGACGGAATCCATTAGCATATTAGTCCACACCCCTGACAGCACAGCTCATTAGCACATTAGGCCACACCGCCATGTTACCAGAAGTGTGGTTATCCAGCCACACCCACCTTTTGCTTGTTATTCTGTGTACCTTGTTTGTTGTCAAAACCCAGGGCCTTTTTTGTAGCAGGAACTCATTTGCATGTTAGGCCACACACGCCTATGGTAGCCAATCCTAATGAGTTTCTGCTGTTGGGTGTGGCCTATTATGCTAATGTGTTCCTGCTGGGCATGGCCAACTCAGGAGCCAGCCGGAACTCCGTTCCTGTGCGTTCCTGCCCCAAAATAGCCCTGCTCCTTCCTGGTGTCAGCAGTCTTACCCCGCATTTCTGGAAGTATGATCAGTCCGTCACACTCTCAAGCCATTTGGAAAGTCTGAACATTCCCTTCTGGTTTGGGGCTTTTTTTTTTTGGAGGTAGTTAGTGAGGTGCGCATAACTGCATATTCGCACCATGGCTATGAAGTGCCGTATGTGTATCTTTACACACATTTTACAGACATCTCTCTCTCTCTCACACACACATAGGGTTGCCAAATCGGGCCGGGGGGCGGGGAACCCCCCGCTTCCGCGGCCCGATTTCCTCCGCAGGCGACGTGCTGCCGGCGCGCGCGCGCACATCGGGACGACTCCCGGACCGCGGCGACGCTCCCCCGCCGCAGAGGGAAGAAGATTTGGCAACCCTACACATACAGGAGCGTCTCAAAACTGTGTTTTTCTTTTTTAAAAACTTCCAAAGCACAGTTTCCAAAAAAAAACCCTTTCCCCACAGGGCACTACATATCTGCAAGACCGCCTCTCCCTCTGTGAGCCCCGAAGGGTTTTGCGATCTGCCAGTCAACACCTCCTGATGGTCCCTGGCCCCAGGGACGTCCGTCTCGCCTTGACTAGGGCCAGGGCCTTTTCAGCCCTGGCCCCAACCTGGTGGAATGAACTCCCATACGAGAATCAGGGCCCTGTGGGACCTTTTACAGTTCTGCAGGGCCTGCGAGACGGAGCTCTTCCACCATGCTTTTAAGTAGAGTGACGGATGTCCCTCCCTCTTTTCGGGGTCTCCCCGCAGTGGGTCAGAACTGCTTACCAGAGATGGCATCTGTGAGACTTAATTCTTTTTTTTTTTTTTACAATATATTTTATTAAGTTTTGCCTTCATAACATAATAACATATACAAAGTGGTGTATTAAGTTCATAATTATGGTAAAATAGTCTTGTTTTTGAACGTTGCAATAAAGGGTAAATAGATAACTACATAGGTTGATGCATGAATATACACAAGATACAATTGTAAACTTTCAGTTTTTAGTAGTTATAACTGTAATGAATAGTGGGTGTTGTAATAAGCATAATTAAAACACATTTAGTACCTGTGAGACTTAATTCTAATGACAACTGCACTGGCTCAAGGATATAGTTGTAATTTATTAGTGTTTTAATTGTATTTTTACCAATTCCTTTGTATTTTTATTAAATCTGATGTAACCCGCCCGGAGCCTGCCATACAGGGAGGGCGGGATAGAAGTTAAATAAAATAAATAACTAAATAAATATCCCAGCAGCCTCCTCCAGCAATTCCAATAGCCACCAGCCTCTGCCATCCTGCCAGGATTTTGAAGTGCAGCTTCCAATACGTGCTTCTGCACAGAGCGGCCGAGGCCTTCATAAGAACATAAGAAGAGCCCTGCTGGATCAGACCAGTGGTCCATCTTGTCCAGTGTCCCGTCTCACACAGTGGCCAACCAGTTCCTCTGGAGGGCCAACAACATGGCGTAGAGGCTGAGGCCTTCATAAGAACATAGGAAGAGCCCTGCTGGATCAGACCAGTGAGGGTCCATCTAGTCCAGCATCCCGTTTCACACAGTGGCCAACCAGTTCCTCTGGAGGGCCAACAACAGGGCAGAGAGGCAGAGGCCTTCATAAGAACATAAGAAGAGCCCTGCTGGATCAGACCAGTGGTCCATCTAGTCCAGCATCTCATCTCACACAATGGCCAGACAGTTCCTCTGGAGGGCCAACAACATGGCGTAGAGGCAAAGGCCAGTGGTCCATCTAGTCCAGCACCCTGTCTCATGCAATGACCAACCAGTTCCTCTGGATGGCCAACAACAGGCCGAGATCTTCCCCTCACATTGCTTCCCGGCTCTGGGATTCAGAGAGGTTTAGTTTAATTTGTTTTTCTTTTAAAAGCCAAGCAAACAGAATTGTGCAGGAGGGCACGTTTTATAAAGGGTACAGGACGGGAGTCTTAATTGTGAAAAACTCAAGTCAGTTTTTCTGCCCTCTCTGGTCATACTTCCGTCTTCATCGAGTGGATTATACTTTTCTTTATTTCAGCGCCCTCTAATTGTATGATGCCGTTTTATGGCACGGATCTTCTCCTCCGCTGGCATAGTTTTGTAATCTATGGGCTGGCATCTTAGCGAGAAAGGTGGGAGGCTAAGTGAAGTGAAATAAGTAAATACACCAGAAGAAGTGTTTTCAGCACTTCGGCCCCCTTCCTAAGACACATTTCCCACAAGGGACTGGCTTTTCATTTCTTAAGGTATATGGCCATCTTTCATTTCCTCTCGTTCTCGCTCTCCCTCCTACCGTTTTCCCCTTAATCTTTTTAAAAAGGCCCTATACAGCTGCGGTGGCTCAAGTGGTTAAGACGCTGAACTGCAGGCTGTGGAAGGTCAGTAGTTCAGCAGTTCAAGACCCGGGTGCTGCAAGACAGGGTGAGCTCCTGTCTCTAGTTCCAGCTCCTGCCAACCTAGCAGTTCGAAAGCAAGAAATTGCAAGTAGATAAATAGGTGCCACATTGGTGGGAAGGTAACAGCGTTCCGTGCGCCTTGGTGTTTAGTCATGCCGGCCACATGACCACGGAAACGTCTTCGGACAGCGCTGGCTCTTCGGCTTTGAAACGGAGATGAGCACCGCAACCCTAGAGTCAGATTCGACTGGCTTTCGAGCAAGGGAACCTTTACCTTTATACACACAAGCCCCAATGAAATTGTGGTGGTGTCTTGCACGATCTAACTTAGGTAGGAGGGCAACTCAATTATTTGCTTCTCCAAGTAGTTGCTAGAGATGCACAAGACCGTGCAGGGCTCTTTCTGTAGCAGGAACTTTGCATATTAGGTGACACACCCCTAATGTAGCCAATCCTCCAAGAGCTTACAGAGCTCTTCTTACAGGGGCTAATGTAAGCTCTTGGAGGATTGGCCACATTAGGGGTGTGTCGCCTAATATGCAAAGGAGTTCCTGCTACAAAAAGAGCCCTGCGAGAGTGCCGTAGCGCTTTGTCTTGGGGCCACACCAAATGCGTCACATTTCGCTACTGGAGAAGGAGCAGAGGCACAGGTTGCTGGTTGTCCGTGTTTCTGTTGCGTATCTTATAACCTAATTAGTACTGCCTTTAAAAAAAAAATGAAGCAGCAGCATTTGGAGGGGGGAAAGTAGATTTCTTTTTTTTTTGGTAACTTCTGAAAGGGCCAACTGCCATGGATTTCTGTTAATTAAAGGCAATTAAAAATGTAAAAAGGGCCTTTAATCGAAATGGTAAAAGGAGTTCTCCCATTGAACTGGGCTCTGAACTTCCAATAGGTATAATACTTTTAAATGTAGTTTTATGATCCCGCTCCATTCAAGCACAG